TTAAGGAGAACCTAAATACTTTCCTAAATAGGAGTTCATATACATTTTAAAAGTCACTCATTATAACATAAATCAAATTTTCCAGTCTGTGGTTTTCAAAACATCCATTCCTTGGTCTCCCACATTGCTTCTATTTTAAACTTGGAATTAATTTTACATAAAATAAGCATGAGTACCAATTTTCTATTTTATGCCAAAATTACTAGGTCTCCAGAAGAAAAATCTCTACATTAGTCGTGTTTAGATCATTTAAATAGCACCCTTTAAACTGTGAGAGTCATTGTATACATTTTGAATCTTCAGTGCATGGTTGTTGATTCGTTAGTAAATGTGATTTCAAGTATTCAGAAGAAGATGCACCCATGCAAATTAATGATCAGAACTCAGGGCTCAAATAATATGAAATTATTGTAGATTAGCCCACTATAAAGAAATGAAAATGATAATAATGGTAATAAAGCTAGAAGATAATTTTTTTTTTTTTGACATGGAGTTTCACTCTGTCACCCAGGCTAGAGTGAAGTGGTGCCATCTTGGTTCACTGCAACCTCTGGCCCCCAGGCTCAAGCAGTCCTCCTGCCTCAGCCTCCCAAGTAGCCAGGATTACAGGCACGCACCACCATGCCCAGCTAATTTTTGTGTTTGTAGTGGAGACAGGGTTTCACCATGTTGGCTGGGCTGGTCTCAAACTCCTGACCTCAAGTGATTCACCCACCTTGGGCTCCCAAACTGTTGGGATTACAGGCATGAGTTACTGCAAAATTTTTCTATTTTTACTAGAGATGGCCTTTCACCATGTTGCCCAGGCTGGTCTCGAATTCTTGGGCCCAAGATGTCCACCCGCCTTGGCCTCCGAAAGTGCTAGGATTACAGGCGTGAGCCACTGCACCCGGCCATGGCTAGTTATTTTAATCAAAACAAATTTAAAACCAAATTAGGTATAAACTGAAAAAACAGATTTTATTAGTCTCTAATGAAAACTTCCAAAAGAAACCTATGGGGATCCCCCCAACCCCCCCCAAGACAGAATCTTGCTCTGTCGCCTAGGCTAGAGTGCAGTGGTGTGATCTCAGTTCACCACAATGTCCGCCTCCCAGGTTCAAACAATTCTCCTGCCTCAGCCTCCCGAGTAGCTGGGATTACAGGCATGCGCCACCATGCCTGGCTAATTTTTGTATTTTTAGTAGAGATGGGGTTTCACCGTGTTGGTCAGGCTGGTCTCGAACTTCTGACCTCAAGTGATCCACCTGACTCGGCCTCTCAAAGTGCTGGGATTACAGGCGTGAGCCAACACGCCAGGCCTGTTTTACTCTTTACATCATATAGTATCTGTAGTCAGAATTTAAAATTTGCTCAATGTGAAAAATAATGATATGCCAAAAATGCATAAAGATTTAGCCTTAGAAAGGAGATTAAAACAAGGTTTTCAAAAGCATGGATTTATTCTAAATACATTAAAAAAAAAAAAACCTAGTTATAGTGTTACCTTGCAAAACATCTAATACAAATTTCCTTAACACTAACCTTTTATGTTTCATGATCTAATGTCCGTTAACTTTAAAGAACCTGATTTATAGTTTCTTTTCTAAACACTCAATGCAGATAAACAATCTACTTTAACTTCTTGCCTTCAAGCAATGTTATGTTCTACTTTTCATAACCCATTTGTAAAGATTTCCAGGAAGTAGCAATCTGGTAGCAATTTTACTGGTGTCTAAACTCAATGTCAGACACTGACATGACTATGTATCAGCTTAATACTTCAGAAAAGTATGGGCCAAACACTTGGTAACGACTACAGGAATTGCAAATATAGATCTCAGGAGGAAATTATAAGCTGATAGGGCAGAAATATGAAATGGTTTTCAACATATTCTAACTCCAGTTTTGCGGTGGCTGTTGCCTGAATTGTGTTGAGGATTCTGAGGATGGTGTTAACGCTCTGGAGGAGAGTATATGCTATGCGCAGTCTAAAAGCCATGACTGCCATGGGCAAGCAGGAGGAGAGACTGACCTGCCAGCTCTGTTCTAGGTTTGGGGTCTTACAGTGGCAAAAGTCACAAGTCCCAAGTCTCAGTGTGGGGGTCCCACATTCTCTTATCTCCCGCCTCTGGCTGTGCCTGCTTCATCCTCTGTGAAAACTGGATCCCCCATTCCACTCCCACTGCCTCTCCGAGCACGTGGCAGGAGATGCCACCCTCACAGCTCCCGAGTTTACTGTTGGCTGCACAAGTAAGTAGCAAAGACTAAGTAATGGTTTTCATTTGGAAAGAACAAAAATGGTCTCTATTGAAGCATGAAGGGAATTTATTGGAGGATGGTGAGAATCAACAGGAAGACTAGAGGAGCCCACTCAGGCAGGAAGCAAGGAAGGCGAGACAAAGTCCAGATTCTGCCACGAGGATGGTATGCTCACGACCCAGGCACCACCAGCACTGGAGTCCTCTACCCCTGGACACTCATCTTCTGCCATTTGACTTAATTCCACCATGGCCACCATGAATAATCACTAACCGAGTCACTTTTATGTTACTCCTCAAAATTCAAACTTTCAGCCTGGAGCCTGGGATTAGCAGTACTTTGATCATAGGCCTACGTGCTACCTATTGAAGGTGTAATTCTCAGAGAAGAGGAACTTGAGTTAAACAGGTACCCTCAAGAGGTGTCCACTACTGGCTGTATTCTACTCGGCAGAGGGCATGTGAGAGAATGTAAGGTGCTCATCTGGCCTAGAAACTGCTGTCACCAGAGTGAGAAACCAAGCTGAGCCTATGATAGTCTGAAGCTGTGGGTAAAGCTACCTAGGAATAAGCAGAGTGGTACCAGAATCTAGAGCTGAAACCAGGGACTTTGGTAGATAAAACAGGCCTGGGTCAAGCTGCAGAACTAGAAAGAACTGAAGTCAGAAATAAAACAAGAGATGTCCCCAAAGTAGATTCCAATAGCAAAGACTATACTCCCAGAAACTAGTTCTGGAGTGGAGAAGGCATACTCGGCACAGGGTTAAATTCTAAGACTGTAAACCAGGTAGTGAAGAAGTTAAAAGCTAGAGAGAGCAACAAAAGGGAGCAAGAAGATGGAGGTAGACTTGCTGAAGTTCATGTAAGATTGCCATATTTGACATTTATTAATTGCAAGACACATTTGATTGACATCTATTCATTGCAAGATATGTCCTTCTATATCCATTTATTTATTTATTTATTTATTTAGAGACGGAGTTTTGCTCGTTCACCCAGGCTGGAATGAAGTGGCGTGATCTCAGCTCACTGCAACCTCTGTCCCTGGGGTTCAAGCGATTCTCCTGCCTCAGCCTCCGGGGTAGTTGGGATTACAGACGCATGCCACTACACCTGGCTAATTTTTGTATTTTTTTTTTTTTAGTAGAGACGGGGTTTCATCACGTTGGCCAGGCTGGTCTCGAACTCTTGACCTCAGGTGATCCACCTATCTCAGCGTCCCAAAGTGCTAGGATTACAGGTGTGAGCCACTGCGCCTGGCCCTCTATATACATTTATTTAGGTCACTTAGACAGTCCTTTCCCAGTTGAGGGGAAATAAAACTGTAATATAGAAACCTCAGTCCTCAAGGCCATGAAGACATCAGGAGCATTGAGAACTTGATGAGTTGGTGCATTTCTCCACTGAGCTTGTCACAATAGGCCTAACACTCAAGGAGAAACACTTTCCTTTTTCCTGATCTTCTAAATTTATCCTTAGAGGGGTCCTCATATTCTTCCTAACTGGACATAGGAGCAGTCTTGGCCAGGTGGAGGTAGCAAAGCTAAGGTGGTGCAGATAATGTCAGGCACTGAACGGATTTGAGGAGGGTGGTGAGGGGATGGTTGTTAGAAAAGAGGCAATACATGCACCTTGTGTAGGGCTGTAGGCTTTTTTACTGTTACCAGGAAAAAATCATCATCATAGCCTCAGTGGCGGAAGCAGCAGCAGCAGCAGATCACTGATAGCACGTAGGACAGGTTTATCCTAAACAAAAACATTTCCTGGTAGAATCACAGGTTCCAAGGTGGTACTGAGTGGGCCCTAGTTCAACTTTCAACCTTTCAAACTTCCAGCCAAATAATTTTAAGCATTAATCAACTTAAATGAAAACATTTTACTTTTATAGGGACATAACATATCTCATAAAGTTTGTTTGTTTAAAGCTTTCCCCTAGCTTTTTCCTCCAGCAGACTTTTCCAGGGGTTTCAAGACTTAAGTTCCTTATCACTCCCTAACACACATGTACATACCACACCTCTATGCTGTGCAGGAGGGAAAAGTAGGGGCAAGCTTATTTGTCCATTTCAGGATGAACAGATTAAAAGCAATTTTTGTTACATCAAACTCAGTGAGACTTTCCAGATTTTCTCTTCCTCATTAAAATTTAAAAAAAAAAAATATTCCTGGAAACAAGTGAGCCACTAAATGTTAAGATTGAAAACTTTCCAGGTTATTTACAGACTGAAGTTTGACATTGATGAATATACTAAAAAATAAATCAGGGAATGTGGTAATTAAAAAATAAAAATAAAAGCAAGGGCGAAGAGAGGCAAACTCAGTAAGTCAATGTAATCTATAACTTGTAGGTGACATTCTGACATACTCTCCTAACTTTAAAACTCCATATAGAACATCTTCAAAGCCACCTTACCCCTTAAACTGGGGCAAATTACTATTTAATTTCATTTATTATTTTTAAAAATATATTTTACTAGATAGGAGGTCTCCCATGTTGCCCAGGCTGGTCTCCAACTCCTGGGCTCAAGCGATCCTGCTGTCTTGGACTCCCAGAATACTGGGATTACACGTGTGAGCCACCGTGCCCGGCGTATTTCAGAGCTGGTTTTTAGACTGAGTGTTTAAGAAGACAAAGACATCTCTAGTGAAGAAACTCAACAGCTCAAGAAATTTTCTACTTTAATAAAAGCTGAATATAGACCTACATAAAATTTTACAACCCTGAGACAAAGACAAATGAAGTTTTAGTAGCTAAAGAAAATACAGCACCGTTCCACATTATGTGTATCTTTAATGCCTACGCCTACCTTTCGTTCATTTAGTGAGCTGAAGAAAAAAAATGTTCAAACCCTTATGTGCATTTCCTTAAGTTCCTAGAACACCGAAATACTGACACGTATGATTGTACTATTTCGTATCTGTCGATGATTCTGAATTTCACTAAAAACCGCAAAGGAAACCAATAGTCACACAACTATTCTGATAACCCCACCAAAGAGGAAATAAAGAAAGGAAGTTACTCCGAAAGTCTGACAAGGCAGAAGTGACTGCAGCAGAAGGGCCTCAAGGGTCAGTTCATGAGGACCTTGATTAACGCCCCTACCCCATCTTTACGCCCCCACCCCATCCTTCCGGGTCCTCCCCCTTCTTCAGCGACTGGCTACGAGGCTCATAGGAAAGGTGCGCGGCTTCAGACCGACACGATTCCAGCTTGGCTCCTCCACTTTCGGGGTCGCTGTTTCCACAGCTTTCGAGCAGGATAACCATACTTGTTGCACTTCCCTCACTGGGCTGCCGCCAGCATCATATAGACATACGCTGTCCCAACATAAGCCAAAGCCACCATTACTGAGATAGTCGCCAAACATAACTCAGCTTCGGTTCCCCTCCCGGCAAGGCTGGTTCGACCTACAGTTAACAGGAAGCTCCTGGGGGCAGGGACAGGATCCCTGCCTCGGAAGGAGGCCAGACGTGAACGTTGTTTGGACGGCATCTGGATGGTGACGAGGGTGTGAGTAACGCCCCCGGCTCACGCGGTTGGGCTGAGATTTTACTACCAACGACAAAGGGTGCGGAAGCATAGTGCTGAGAAGCAGCCAGCCAAAAAAACTCAACCCCGTCCTCCCCCGCAAAAACAAGTCCCAAAGCCCTGGGCACTACGGAGAGCCGGGCCAAGGAAAAGGGAAAGGCAGAGGGGCGGAATCGGGGCGCCCCATTCAATCCCCGCGGCAGCCGAGCGTCGGTGGGTTCGCGGCTGGGAAAGGGCGCCGCGGGCCTGCTCTCCGGGCGGGGAAGCACCTCCTCCTCACGCCCCCTCAGCCTGCGCCGCCCCCGGGAATCCGCCCCGGACCCCGCCGCCATGTTGGGTCGGGAGAAGTGACACGGACCGGTCGCATACCCAGACCACAGCAAAGCGGCCCGGAGCCCGCGGAGGGGACCTGGCGGGGGCGTAGGCGCCGGAAGGCTGGGGGCCCTGGAGCCTGGCCGGCGTGGCCCGAGTTCCGGTGAGCGGACGGCGGCGCGCGCAGGTAGCCGCAGCCCCCGCCCCGCGCCCGCCCCCGCCCCCGCTAGAAGTGAGGGGGCGGGGCCGGGGGAAGGAGGTGGAGAGTGAGGCCGAGGGGTGGGGAGCCAGGGAACTCCCTCGTCCTGAAGCAACGCGTCCCGGGCCGGCTCTGCAGTGGTTGCTGCCGCCGGGCGCCCCGGGACGAGGAGGTGGAGGAGGGAGAGGGCCCGCGGGCCTCGCCTCCGCCCTCCGCCCCCTCCCGCCACCTCGAGCTGCGGCAGCAGCGACTCATGAGAGCGCGGCCGGAGGACAGGTAAGGACCGGGCGGGGCCCCGCGGGCGGAGGGGTCCACCCCGGCACGGACAGGGCTAGGCCCCAGCGCCCGGAGCCGCCAGCACCGCCGCGGTTCCCCGCCCCCGCGGGCCAGAGTCGGGAAGTTGGGAAGAAACTTCTCCCCTCCCCCGGCTCGCCCGGCGGGCTCGTCTCGTTGCCCGCGCTACCTGCTCGCCCCTGACTCGGTCTCTGCCCCGTTCAGTCCTGCCGGGTCCCGCCCAAATCCGACCTGAGGTCCCAGGGGCGTGGGGACACGCTCCACCGCTTGTCTTTGGGGTCGTGTGGACAGCCCGGCGGCGTGGAGGCGAGGTTTATTTTTGCCTACACGGCCGAAGTGGGGGCGAGGGAAGCGGTCCCTTTTCGGTCCTAAAGGCTGGGGATCTGTGTGTCGGCCGACGCCGGTAGCAGCTGTGCGGGGAGAGGAGAGGGTGTATGGGGCGAGTTTGTGAGCCTCTCGGGCTTTACTTGGTTTGATTGAAAACCGCAACATGTTTAAAGTTTTCCTTTGTTTTGGATTGGGGGTTGGGAAATTTACCATTCAGCGTCCACTTTTTCATGCCACTCCGCCTCCCGTTGCGTTCGGTTCCCTGTCCACATGTGTTAAAGAAAATTTTGTCTTAAAGTGTGTTTTTCTTCTTGATAATTGCTTCCAGCTTTCACTTTATTGGGCATGGAGCAGAGTTTTAAGAAGCTCTTTGAAAATCAAGTCTGGTGTAGGGACTTTAGTTTTTGTTTTGTAGTGAGTAGGACTTAACAGTTCGGATTTGGTTGAATTATTTTCTGCATAATTAATTGATATAGGCGTGGAATAACATACGGTCTAATTTGTACATTATTAAAGGAAATAATGAAAGTCTGGTGGAAGCACAATTTTATGTCCATACCATTTATTATGTATATACGTTCCACGGATGTGTGTTTTCACATAGTTGATTTCACGTATATATAATATGATTATAGTATCTTCATGTATTATAATTGTAAGATTAGTGCCAAAGATGTCTTGATAATTTTAAATGTGTTTAAACCATCCTGTTAAATTTCTAAAGTTAAATAACTCACTAAGGAAAATATTACTAAATGTATACACATGACTACATTTAAGGAAAAGTGCATGGTAAATCTAATATCTTAACTGTCACAGTGCTTGGCACACGGTGGACAGGAAGCATTTTGGTCAGGTAATAAAGGAGTATCTTGTATTAACCAAGGATCTTGTATGCATCACTTACGATTTTCATATATTGTACAGTAAGGAAGTTTTACTTTAGCAAATAATATATATGGTTTTGTTGTTTTTGTTTGCTTATAAATGTGAGACCTCTGCCACAATTGACATGTAAGAAAAGGGAGTTAAATTGTATTTTAATTTTTGGACATTAGCTAAAAGTCGGTGGAGATTTTAAATGCTGGTTGACGTTTCAGTGGGTCCTACATTTGAAATAGACAATTGCCTTTGATCTGAAAACAAAACAGTTTATATCCATGTTTCCAGAATAAAAGATAAAAGGGCTCTTAAAATATATACTCTGTTGTAACCACCGTAATGTTACAATAGCTTTAATTTCACAGTTAGGTTTTGCTGACTTCATAAACCACAAAATTGATTCCTTTCTGTTCATCTGAAAGTGAAATTACAGCTTTGACCTGTCTTCCTGGGTTAGGTGGAATTTGTCTTATGGTCGAAGTATATAATATTAATACATGGGCTGTTTTTGTGTGTGTGTTTTAGTTCAGGAAATTCACAAGCTGAAAAATTGTTTATGCAAGTAGAATTCCTTCATGGTATGTATTGATAAAAGTATAAATGTGCTAAAAGACTAGAAGTAAACCTGTATAAGTGAAATACTACCAACCGATGGTGTAAGACTTATTCAAAGTTGAAATTTGCATCATGTTAGACAGTAAATAATTTATTACTATGGGTAGTTTTTCTTTACAACATCAGTGTAGGCATCAGTTATTAATTCTATTAGCATTATAGTAAGAAAGAAGACTAACGCCAAAAAAATTTAAGTGATGCTAAACTCTGGTGTCGCCCAAACTTGGGTAATTAAAAAAGAAAAAACCTGCAAGGAAATTTCTGTGAAAGCAAAAATAGAAGCATAGAATACCTGTGGTTCTATGAAAGGAAATATATGAGAAGAGGGAGGAGATTGTGATAGGGACCTGACTTCTGAAGTGGTGACAAAGTTCTTTTAACCTGATAGGAGTTACCAAGGGTATTGGTTTTAGTGTAATTCATTAAGCCCTACGTTTGTGTGCAGAATCTGTTTCTATGTTTTATTTTACATGAATTTTTTTTTTAAGGAATCCAATGTGTAATGTACTATATGAGGTGCTTGGTTTAAGAACATAATTTGGTGACTGACTTTAGAACACTACCTAGGCTATCCTTTGCAATAGGAATAAATTTGTTAAATCATAATTGTTGTATACCAGCTGATATGTGTAACGACTTTGAACACGTCAGGCTGGGCATGGTGGCTCACACCTGTAATCCCAGCACTTTGGGAGGCGGAGGCAAGGGGATCACTTGAGACCAGGAGTTTGAGATCAGCCTGGCCAACATGGTGAAACCCCATAAAATTACAAAAATTATCTGGGTGTGGTGGTGCACCCCTGTAATCCCAGCTACCTGGGAGGCTGAGGCACAAGAATCGCTTGAAACCCGGAGACAGCGATTGCAGTGAGCTGAGATAGTGCTACTGCATTGCAACCTGGGCAACAGAGTGAGATTGTCTCAAAAAAAAAAAAAAGTCAAATACTCCCAAATGTACAATAATTAGAGAATTGTTGGGAAAAAAATTCTAAATAAAGTTCTACTTGGTCTTCTTTCGTAAGTTAATTGTTTTAATATTTTGAGAGAAGACACAGGTTTTACAAAATTAAAATCCGCTTCAGCTTGTGTATTGTAAATAACCAATAGAAGATAATCAAAATGTTTATTGAATGAATGGATACTGTTCTGTCATCAAATACTCTGTTTTTCTGAAAATTACATAACATGACAAAACTCAATTATGACATCAAGATCGTAAGTTTTGACTTTTATCTATTTTCAGTTTTCTAGAACAGTAATTCTTTAGATCAGTAATTTCAGCCTTAGTTTTTATATTCTTAAGAATGCCATGAAATCTCAGCATAAAATAAGCTTTTGTTTAAAGTTTATGAAGATTTGCAGCACCTGAAGGATGAATATGTTTTGGTTCTAAATTACAATATGGTGTTGGAGTTTCAGAAATGCAGAGAATCATTGGGTCATGCTATTTTATTTGCTTTATGTAATGGCTTGCTATTTTAGTTGTTCACATTGTGGCTTTGCATTGTTGTAGAGTTGAAGAAGAGATCACATCTGTGCCAGATTCTTATATCACAGGAACTTTTGGTCATGTTGTAAAGGTGATGTTTGTGGTGCAGGCTTTGTTGTGTGAATATTTACAGGAAGTTTTAGTAAGATCTTCCATTGTTTAGAACCCTACATGGCTTAGGTCACCTTCAGTTCACATTTAAACAGGTTTATAATATAAATATAAGTGCTATAGCGAGGTACAACTACTTTTCTTTAAAGGAAATCATCTGTTTCTATTAAAGTGTGTTGTCTTATTGGTAGTTTGTGTATGGCTATGGCAGGGTATGTATTATCTCTTTTCTTCCTCTCAGCTGCTCCAGTGCCACAATTAGGCTGAGTATTGCTCAGCTGCAGCTGCTGGGTGATTACTAACCATCCAGCTCCTGTCTAAACTCAGAGGCAGATTTAGCAAAAGGAGCTATAGTAACAGTAGAGGGTGAAAGAGAAGAGCCAGTGCTGCCGCCAATATCATTTTCACATGTCTGTATGCCAAGGAATCGTTGGCTACGGCAGCACTACTGTTGTCTTGGAACTAGCAGACTTGATGGCAATATATCCTGGTCTGGATTTGGGCTTACCTTTAAGATCTGAAGGCCCACTCCAGGAAAGACAGAGAATCCTGTAATTTTAGAGTATAGAATAATGTACTGTTGAGGTACTAATGGACCGAGTTACAAGCCTCTGTGCCTCAACTCCTTCCCCCGCCTGCCAAATCTAGGGTAGCAGTGCCCTTCAGTTTCTCTTGTTCAAATGTACAGTAAGCTGTGAGACTGCAGGTTCCTTGTAGCATTATACTTCCTTTTGCTTTAAGCTGTGATTCTTA